TCTCTCTCTCTCTCTCTCTGTGTGTGTGTGTGTGTGTGTGTGTGTGTGTGTGTGTGTGTGTGTGTGTGTGTGTGTGTGTGTGTGTTTGTTTGCGTGTGCATGAGGGAGAGAGTGTAAATGGCTGCAACAACACCGATTTCAGGTCTCCGAAGAAAAGATAGCGATAGGAAGTGATTGAAAGAGATGGGAACTACGTCACACGTGGCAACTTCAATCATGCTGGTTTGAACAGAGAACACTATTCCATAGAAAAAAAGGGAGGTGGATGTCTATTCCCCTTGAAACCGATCAACAATGGCTCGACTGATACGACAAAAAGGAAGCAGATTCAAGTCAAATGTTGGCCAATGAGCTCATTAAAAACATCGCATCACTTGATGCCTTATATTTTTAACTTATTTTATTTTATTCTAAATTCGAGCCCGTAGCAAAGTAGGGCGAATGCCATTTCACTTCGCTACGCAGCATTTCATAATTCATTTCAACGAAGATCACCCGGAGGATAGATATATTGCTCAAAACTTAAATGGAGTCCGCCAGCCGTCTGCTGGCTTGTGCAGACTCCTCTATGCACGTTGTATAGACCCGCAGAGACTGGTTAAAAGCGCCCCCGCAGATTGCTAGCCTCTTCAAGACCCGTATTCCTCTACCAACGTCGAGCCTTCACCAAACCTATACCACGTTCCACCGACTCGTAGATGCTTCCACATTCCTCGCCATTCGAACGGGTTCCCAAGAGAATCCTCGGCACTCGAATGGGCCCAGAGACTCCTTGGCACTTGAACAGGCCCAGAGACTCCCCAGCACTTGGAATGGCACAGGGACTCCTTGGCACTCGAACAGGCCCAGGGAGTCCGCCGCACTTGACAACCCAGAGACTCGTCAGCACTCGAGCGACTCAGAGAGTCCTCAGCACTCAAACATACCCCGAGACTCCGAGAGTCCTCCGCACTCAAACGGGCCCAGGGACTCCTCGGTACTCAAAATGGGCCCAGGGACTCCTCTCCTCGGCAGCCTCTCAGAGAGTCCTCAGGACTAGAATGGGCCCAGAAGACTCCTCAGCACTCGAACGCTCAAACGGGCCCAGAGACTACTCGGCACTCGAACAGGCCCAGAAAGGCTCTGATATGTTGTCCCCCCTGACCCACCCTTGCCAATTTATGAGGATGGATTTGTGCGCACGTAATCACACTCCTGCGGCGACTTGCAAAAGCTAATGGACACTGCTAAAGCTTTTTGCGACTCTTAGTTCTTCCCCAAACTTCGAAGCCCCGACACAAAGGCCGACAGCCTTCCACGGGCTTTTTCGAAAGAAAAAAAAAAGATGCTCCAGCAGACTCACAGGCACTAAGAAAGGCCCACACAGACCCTCATCGACAGAGCCACATGCATGGACATGCGCCACGTTTCCTGAACCAACAGTCCCATGCGGGTCGATCTGCGTGCAAATGACCACACTCCCACAAGTGAGCGAGGGTCCAACCGTACATGTGATAATCCTTGCACTCGTCGAAATGCCTTTGGACTTCGTCATAACTTTGTACTAATGCAGCTGTCTGTGTCTGTGTCTCTTTTTTCAACTTGTTTCTGTTGAGGGGGTTTGTTGCCCCTCGTGTCATTGTATCCATCTGATTCCATCGGGATTCGACATTTGAAGTTTTGAACTCATGATCTGGCTATCAGTGCTAAGTTACATCTGTGTGTCATTCAGCCACATGCGCTGGCTAGCTCTGTCTTAAGTGAACAGGATTACACAAAGACTCGCACGAATAACTGAAGCTATTAATCGGACAGATAAATATCCGGAGTGTGTGGACGAGTTCAGAGTCTTCGCAGTCTTCGGACCTGTGCAGATGAGCTCGGCTTTACCTGACCTCGATACCACCCACGGTTAGAACAGTTATGGGTACGGTTTGTGGCTGCGCTTCAGCTTGTATGAGGAGGTCTGGACTCGAACACATGTGACCTACAACCAGACAGATAAATGTGGGAGCATGTGGACACGATTCAGAGTCTTCAGACCTGTACAGACGAGCTCCGCTTGACCTGACCTCGCTACCGTACTTAGAATAATTATTACGGATACAGTTTGAGGCTACACTTCAGCTTGTACGAGGAGTTCTGGACTTGAACACATGCCCTTCCCGCAGTTGTGCACAGCGCGGTCGAACTTCCGCGCTTGTACGAGGAGGTCTGGACTTGAACACTTGCCCTCCTCACTTGTGCACAGTGCACGCACATTTAGAGCTTGCAGACTGACAAAGAAGAATTCGAATACGGTTTGTTCGCTGCAGTTTTAGCTTGTATGACGAGGTCTGGACTTGAACACATGCCCTTCCGATTTGTGCACAGTGCACACGCGTTTAGAACTTGCACACTGACAAAGATGCCTCTGCATTCTGAACGCGTATAGCTGCATCGTGACTTGTGATGACCAAGGCACGAACGAACGTGAACCCGTATGTGGACGTGTTTGGACCCGAGTTCCCTACAGTTGGTTGTGTCCAAAACGGAGTGTGTGTGGAGCACTGCAGATAGAATTTTCTTGACTCAGAACTGTATGCGTCCTGGAGAGTAAGACCTGCCAGGAAGAGAGTTTGTTTCCCTCCTGCTAGGATTCATTGGGATGAGTAAAGTCCCGCATGGGACCAGTGAAGTTCCACATGGGACGACGAGTGAAGTCCCACATGGGATGGGACGATTGCGGTCCCACATGGGACTCGCACACAGGTCCTTGCAGTGCGGTCACCTGCCTCCGGCTGTCAGGCTTCTTAAAGACCATGATAATGCAATGAAGGCTCCCTGCAAAGAATCGAAATGGATCTCAATAAAACAAACTTTCTTCCGTCGTCGGTGTCCCTGGACTCAGCATATCACAGTTTCTTGACAAGTCCCGGGAGGAGGAAGAGCAGACGCAACAGTGACAGGGTTCCCTGACCGACGGCTTTTCAGATCTTCTACAATGTTTCCTGCTGCCTCGTACCCTGACTGCAGGGCCTTCCCCACGGAGAGGGCATTTCGGTGATTTCCGGCAAAGTAGACACCGGGAAGGTCCCTCTCCATTGTTTCCATGGCCTTGAGAACGGCGCCGTAACCTTTGCCGTAAACGGGAAACGCTTGCGGCCAGCATATATGCCTTGTCAAGACAGGGTTCCCCTCCACACCGATAAGTCGTTTGAGATCTTGAAAGGCAAGCTTCTGCAGCTCCGCCGCTGGCCTTCCTGCGAGCTGTTGATCACGGGTGCCGCCCATGAAAGAGCTGAACAGAGCGTAACCCGGCGGAACTCGGTCGGAGAACATTGACGACGAAAAGATTGTCCCCAGCGTTCTGAAATCCTGCTCTTTGGACGGAACCAAAACTCCGAATCCTGGAAGAGGGCGTTTTATGTCTTCCAATCTGAAGGCCTGGACAATTACCGACAACGCCGCGTACTTCACCTGTGGAAGCCAGTCTAGAGGGAATTTCTTTCCGGCCTTCACAACTTCGAAATTCCTAACCTTGTGAAGTGGAGCTGTCACAAGCACTGCGTCGAACATCTCATGGCGCTTCTTATTTTTGTTTGCCCTCTGCGTGTAGGACACTTTCCACTCCCACCGCTCGGGCTTCGCCCCCGTCAGCACACGCCCATCGAGCCCTACCACGGCGCATCCAGTCCGCACTCGGTCACGGCCGACCCTCTCCATCAGCGCATTCGGCAAAGTCTGCATGCCCCCCAAGAAGGAGAAAGAGCTTCCGGTTCTTCCCTTTATCGTTGACGTCAACAACTTGGACGAATCCGGTGCTGCTGCAACCCCCTTGGTGCGCGCCGAGGCCTTCTTCGCAAGCTTTGACAGTGCGCCTGCCAGCGCCCCAACGAAGAGAGACCCGTGCCTCTGCTCCAGTTCCCACAGTCCTCGGAGCCCATATTTCACAGCAATCGACTGTGGGTCTGATCCAGCCGTTCCGGCCAGAAAAGGGTCAACTAAGTAATCGACAGGCTCTTTACCAACGTGCCTTTCGAGAAAGTCCCCGACGCTCTCGTCCTCGTCAATGGCAGCTCCTCCGCTTTTTCCCACGCTGTTTCCACGTCGCCTCCAGAGAAAAGGCTCCATCAGCACCCGCAACTTCGCTTGGGGTGAGAGTGCCTCGGTCGTGAGAAATCCCAAGGGGCTCGCCGGCAGCATGACTGCTTTTCCGTTGCGTACGGTGTATCTCTTGGACTGATCCGCCGGCCAAGCTATCTTTTGCTGCAGTTGAAGCTCTGAGATGACCTGTCCCACAACAGGATGGTTTTCCGCCATGGTATTCGGCCCCTTCTCCCACAGAAATCCATCCTTGCCTTCAGTCTGAATTACTCCCCCAGGGACCTCGGCCTCGAATACCGTCACTGCAACGCCTTCCTTTCGAAATCGGAAAGCAGCTGCCAAACCACTGACGCCGGCACCGATCACTGCCACAGAACCAATTGCCGCACCGCCTCCTTTCTTATCCATCGCAATCAACAAGCAAACTGCCACGTGTCACCACGGGCAAGGTCGCGCACGAGAGTTCTGGTCCTCGCGTCCGATGAGCCCCCGTCTTTATATACTGATACAGTGCATATAGTTGTATGGTTAATAAACAAAAAACGAAAAGGCAACAACAAAAAGAACCTCTCACTCACAAAGTAACCGGGACTCCAAAAGGACAAAAAACTTGAAAAAAGACAAAACTGTAGCAAACAGAAAAAAAAAAGGTACCTCGCCGTTAGGACCATGGTACCAAAAAAGAAAAAACAAGAAAAAAAAACTATACAAATAATAAAATATTGAATAGAATCAATAGATTATTTAAATAATAAATAAATAGACAGTCTGTAGTACTCTGTACAATCCTTCTCTCATCGAGATTGATGTAGCGTCTAAGGGATTGGTTAAGCAAATTAGCACCCTATGGAAGGGGTGGAAAGGGCTACAAATAGTACAAATTCAAATATAAATTTAAATAATCCATTCAGGGCGAACTCGCATTATGACCTTTGAATTGAACTGAACCTGGCCGGACAATTGGTCAGGTGCATTCAGGAAAGTGCCCAAATATGCCCTCAGCCTTGTTCCTGTTTTACACCAGCGGACAACCACTAGTCTCTTCCCTTTTGCAAAAAGTGTCGAAGCAGACGAACCCTCCATACCACTCCCGTCTCTTTCTTCTTTCACAGTGGGGAATATCACCCTGCAAAGGCTGCAATCTCTCTCTTTCCTCTTTCGTAGAAGAGAGTCCCGATTTTGACAATGGCACCGCCATAATCCTTGGGAGGCTGCAGCAAGCACAGAGTCATGGCTAAGAGAACTTGATTAGCTTTTTTTTGGGGGGGGGTGGGGGGTGGGGGGTGCATGTGCGTGTGCATGTCGGTATCATGGAGGGGGTTTCGTTCAGAGGGGAGAAACCGCTTAGTGAATCTCATGCAGGCTTGAGTGGCCTGCAGGAAACCCAAAACCGGAAAGGGATGGTAGAGGGAGGGGGGGGAGAGGGGGTAGAGATTCCGGAGGGGGGTTCCTTCGCAGGGGAGAAACAACCTGCTGAATAGGTGTGGCATTCTGAGCCACATGGGCCCCAGTTAGGGCCCAGTTCCCAGATAGGCAGGGTAGGCCTAAGGGGACGACGGTTCAGATGAGGCCAGGGGTACAGCGGTTCAGGCAGGCCAGGGGTAGAGGCCCAGGCCAACGGCCACAAGGCCGATACTGGTCCAGCATAGGATCTACCGGCGGCGCAGTTTCAGAGGCTGCCGCGTTTAGGCGCCAAATCCAGTTCGAATCTGGACCGTCGATTCAGATCAACGGTCCAGGCCTCAGTAGTTACCAGCAGGTAGGAGGCCGGCCCAGCACTACAAAAGACTGGGTACCAGCCTCAGTAGGGAGTTAGTATGGACCGAAGGTTAGGAAGGTTGGAGTTAGTCTTCAGGATTAGCGCAGCGTTTCAGCGTTAGGAGATTAGYGCAGCGCAGCAGCGWTAGAGCGAGCAGCGAGGAGAGACCAACGCAGCGGCGAGGAGGAACCAGCACAGCAGGACCAGCGCCAGCCACCGGCCCAGTCCGCGGCCTCTCTCTCTCTCTCTCTCTCCTCCTACCTTCTCAGTCTAAGACTACTTCTGAGTTCTCCTACGGGACTACGATGAGTATGAAAGATGGTTACGAATTCTGATGACATTGGAGACAGCGACATTGGGACTATAGGTTGATGACTACTTGTGGGATCTGATTTCATCGGCCTCTGGAGATGTACTTGACATTGTGAGATCGATATCTGAGACATTGTGGGACATTGTTTTCACGACATTTCGGACTTTCTCCATCTCTGACATTTCAAAATACTATCTTTGGAAACCTTGAGTTGACGTAATCTTCCCTCTCCTCCTCCCTTCGTCTCTCTCCTCCCTCCATTCATCCGTGGATGATCTCAGACCCTGGCCTTTCGTCTACGTCCAAGGCCAGGGCTTTCACACCCCGGATGAATGATTGAGAGTGTTCGATTGTAGTCCGGGTCAGGTCAGAGTCAGTCCATGGGTATCAACTCTTCCGCTGTATTTGTATCAACTCTGTATTATCTGGTCGGTTCTGGGAATCTGCGTCATACTTAGGACTGTGTTTCACGAGTATGCAACAATAGGCCTGAGTGGCGTCCACGAAACCCAAACAGCTTCTCGAGACCGGGCTTGGCGGTCACTAATTTCTCTTGGAGTATTTGCTCCACGGCCTCTTCTTTATTTGCACCAATGCCTCTGCATTTGGGTAGTTTCCTAGTGCACCCAAAAGCACTGGGAGGTCCAGTTTCCCTAAAGCCGCCGGAGGGTTGGTTCGCAAGCATCGATCAGTGCCTCACAAAATCTCCACCCTCACTGCTGTGTGCATGGACCGCAAGTTCGCAACAGAATTCCAAGGGCATTTTGGCAAGGTTTTGCCAAACTATGCTTGTCTGGGAGGCATTTCCGCAAACCAGAGGCATATAAGCAAACAATAGGTACTTTAGCACAGTGCCATCAGCGAACCCAGGGGAAGAAGAGAATATAATATATATATTAATATCCGGTATTCAAGTAGAGTTCGGTAAAGATCCCTTTCTTCTCAAACTAAACCCTCCAGCCGCTAGCCTCGGCCATTCTTCTTTTCCAGTCCCCGGCCTCCTGGAATGACCCACCCACCCTTTGAAGTACCAAGTCCCACAAGGGCCCACAAGGGCTCAGTCCCGTTCTCGCCACGAGTTTGCTTGATGGAAGTCAACACAGTCAAGTTGTTAACTGAACTTGGACAGAAAGATACCTCAAATACAGAGCCAAAGCATGCCCGTCGTTCGTGCATAGTTGTTGGTTGGATAGAATATTGTCAGCAGCAGTCCCTTCTGTCGAGTCGGGATTTCAAAGCACCAACATCTATTGGCAGTCTGCAGAAGTACCTTCTTCCCCCGAATACAACATACGGTCCTTACAACTGTATTTGGACTGAAAGATACCTCAAATACAGCTATAGTGACCGTACATTCTATTCGGCGGAAGAAAGTAGGAAGGAGGATTTATGATTTACCTGCAAATTTGCCACGCCTAGGAAAGACCCAACCAGTTGGGCCCGTGGGTTCCATCGTTGTGCGCCTCCCAGGGCTGAGAATTTGGGACTGGCTGCAGTCCCTAGCTGTCATATTGGGATTTTATTATTTTAAAGCATCAACATCTCTTAGCAGTTTGCAGGACGGAATGAAAACATACTGCAACCATACGGACTTATCTGCAAATTCGCCAGGCCTAAAGACCCAACTAGTTGGGCCCGTGGGTCGGCCCATGGGTCTCTCACCTTTGCCCATCCCCAAGCTGCAAGTTCGGGTCTATGAAGCCCCAAAGAAAAAGGTAACGTAGGTCCTCTACCACTCACCAGCATCGATTGGCAGTTTGGAGGATGGGCAATTTCTGAAAATATTGCAACAATGGGGACTTGTCCGCAAATTCGCCAGGCCTAGTAAAGACCCAACCAGTTTAGCCCGTGGGTTCCATCATTTTGCGCATCCCCGGGCTGAGAATTCGGGTCTATCTAGCCCCAAAGGAAAAGGTAAAGTAGGTCCTCTGCCCACTCAACAACATCTATTGGCAGTCTGAAGGACTGGGAAATTTTCTGAAAATACTGCAACAATGTGCAAATTTGCCAGGCCTAAAGACCCAACGGCCTTTTGGCTAAGATCAAGTGTAGTATCTGTTCTGATCAGTCTAATATCTGCTCCGTGGTCCATCGGACCACACTTTAAAAAAAAAAAAAAAAAAAAAAAAAAAACCAACTAAATCTAGCCATGGGTTTCATCCTTCTGCATTCCCCTGCTGTGACTTTGCGCCTATGCAGCCCCAAAGAAAAAGGTAATATAGATTCTCTCCCACTCTTATACAATTTGAGGCTTCTACCAGGACCACCACCTTCCCAGAAAGGAAAGCAGCAACGCTTGTCCGACTTCCCAATTTCTGAAAACAGCCTAGCGGCTGGCTGCTCCTGGCACCCCCAGTGCTACTCAGTACTCACTCCTACACCCTCCAGCAGCCCACATGACTCCGGAAGGAGGATGCCGGGTGCCGAAGTGTTTCCTCATTCTTGCCTTCAGCACTTCAAGTCGTTGACACGGCACCGATCTCTGCAGAGCGACTACGGATGTCTCTGAAGAGGCTATCTTGATCTGACTATCCATGCAGATATGGTCGGTGGGGCAGGGACGGGGGGTTGAGGCGAAACAATGGGGAGCAGAGGAGAAGCATCATCACCCGCACTACTGCTCAAGAGACTCTTTTTCCCGCCAACCGCTCATCACATGCCAATACCTGTGAGCCCCTCATGCGCCTTCCACACGCATGTTAATAAACAGTTTTGAAGTTTTCACTATCAGGAAAGCTTGAGGAAAGTGCTTAGCGACGTTACGGTGTCAGAGGCTCGCCACGGATAAGAAAGACGCGACTCAACGGCTAATGAAATTTACTCGGAAAAAGGGGCTACGGCGAGTTGGGGGAACCGAGCAGCTGATTGGCAAGTTTTTGGTCCAGAAGCGCAGCGGTGAGTATTCTACTATTCATCAATTAACCTGGTAAATAGTGAACGGTGGAACAAAGCACTAAGCAGACTATACCTTAGAGTGGGTGGTGTTTGGACTAAGAGAGGCCCTGGAGATCATGCTGAGGTAGACGTCATACAAGTGCGCTCGATACGGCAGTCACTGGAGGGAAGAGGCAGAGGTGTTGCGTCATTGTCATAATAGTGCTCGAAGAGAGTCTGTTGTTCATCGTATGTGGACCTTATTCAGAGTTATCTTGTGGACTGCAGCCAGTTGTGCTCATCGGGACAGTGGGGGAGGACAAAAGAATGTCAGTTGCACATGATGCAACGGCCATTGACGACGCAACAGGAAGCTCAGGAGGTAAGAAACAATCAGATATGATCCAAATCGTTCCTCTCGTTGTACCCAGCACTATCGGCCGGTCACTAAGAAATACTTCGGCTTAGAGGGTGATCCCCCCACAGAATTCAAACACGGCACACGTTTTGCCGAGGAGGAAGTTAGCAAGACAGACATTGAGCTCTTAGTCTCTACTTCATCTTGTCATCGAAAGAAGGTTCGAGTGAGACTTGACGGTGCAGCAGACACTGAGGTGTTTGAGCGACTCGATGGTGCAGCACACACTGAGGTTTGAGTGAGACTTGATGGTGCAGACACACTCAGGTTTTTGTCTACTTTTATCTTACATAATAATCTGGAGGAGGTTCGAGTCAGTTGACGGAACAAACATCCGGATTTTGTCTACTTCACTGTGCAACCATCTTAATTATCCGTCCGGATTTTGTCTACTTCATTGTGCAAACCATCTTCAGTGTGTAAACGTTGGTCATTCAGCAATTTCTACAGCACTGGGCCTGTACGGACATGAACGACGGACTCATCGAGTGAGTGAACACAAAGCATTCAGTGCAACTCCGGTATCAGGGCCAGAGAGAGCCACATTGCTTATAGTCAGACCCAATGAGACCTATAATTTTATGCTGGAAGTGTGTGTGTGTTGTCATATTCTCTATACACTCAAAAAAAGCATGACTGTGCCAGACTGTTTCGTCAGACTGCTGTGTGTGTGTGTGTGTGTGTGTGTGTGTGTGTGTGTGTGTGTGTGTGTGTGTGTGTGCGTGCGCGTGTGTGCGTGCGTGTGTGTGCGTGTGTGTGCGTGTGCGTGTGTGTGTGTGTGTGTGTGTGTGTGTGTGTTCGTGTGCGTGCGTGCCTTCGTGTGCGTGCGTGGGTGTGCGTGGGTGTGTGTGTGTGTGTGTGTGTGTGTGTGTGTGTGTGTGTGTGTTGTTTTCAAAGACCCCAGATTCTCTCTCTCACTCCCTTCACAAATCATCACAAGCCATCCAGAACGAAAAAGTTAAGATAGGCAATATAATAAGAAATGCAAGGTTGGCCACGTTTGTGGGTGGGTGGGTGGGTGGGTGGGTGTGTCTGTGTATGTGTGCCTGTCTTGTAGACTGTCACACGTGTGTGCTCCCCACAACAGCCCCTGTTCCACCCAGACAAAATCAAAGCAGCTTTACCTCTATTGCAGACAATGAAGCACACTTGAGATGAGCGAATGCAACAATGAAACAGTTTTAACCTCTACAGCAAGCAACATGGGGCACAATAGTTCCACTATATCCCTTTCTTAACTACCTTTACTTTGCTTTTTTTGGGGTAACCCTTTTATTTGTTCTTGCAGCTCCCTTTTTACTGTGCCTCTCACGTACAAGGCTGGCCACGTTGACTGTGGCTTTGTGCCAGCTGCCCACATCCCCGTGTACCTTGATGGAACACTTGCACGTTATGAAAGGAGGCAGAGTAAGGGGGGAGGTTTACTCCTATTTATGTTTCTTCAAATGTTCAGCTTATGTTTTGTCTCTTCTCTTAATGACGCTCATTCGTATGCATTTACTAGTGTGTTTGTCTGTGTCTGTGTCTGTGTGTGTGTTTTAAAAATTTTGCACCACAACAACCCCTATTCGACCCAGATGAGTGGATTCGAGTTGAGCCAGCTCAACAATTAAAGAATTTCACCTCTTTAGCAAGCAACATGAATCACAATAGAACCGTTTAGAACTGTGTTTAGCTGGGGTTTCTTTGGGGCAACAGCTCCTCTTTTACTATGCCTCGCAGGCACCGGACTGCCCACGTTGATGGTGGTTTAGCGGCAGCTGCCCACATCCCCGTGTGCCTTAACGGCCCACTTGCATGTTATAACAGGAGGCAGAGTAAAGGGGAAGGTATGCTCCTGTGCATTTCACTGCAGATCTTCATACTCCTGTTCATTTCACTTCAGATCTTCAGTTTATACTTAGTCTTGCGTCTGTCGTTCGTCTTCATACTCCTGTTCATTTCATTTCAGATCTTCAGCTTATACTTTGTCTGTTCTCTTAATGATGCTCATTTCCTATGTATTTACTACAGTCTTCCCCCGAATACAACGTACGGTCATTATAGCTGAATTTGGTGTATCTTTCCGTCTAAATTCAGCTATAATGACCGTACGTTGTATTCGGGGGAAGACTGTAGTACCACATACGGGGAGGGTGGAGGGAAAGGGATAGAAGGCGGAGTTCTATAGGAGTGTGAGGTGGTGCGAAATGGAGTGCAAAGGGCAGGAGAGAAATATGTGAAGGATACAGTATGACATGCAAAGGGCAGGGCAGAGGTATATGACGGACTTCGCAGAATTCTTAGTACTCACCGCTAGAGCAGACTACTCTAGAATGGCACATGAGGTCAGTTAGTGTTTGGGTTGCATAAGATTTCGAGTCGAGGAGCAGCTATTGCCTATGATAAGTGGCCACCCCTACAGACCAGACAGGACCGGTTCCGGTGTGGGCTGTGGAAGCACCGCATCCAATTTTTGCAGTCGCAGTTGCTGCATCGAATGGTGTGGCGCAGATGTGTGTGTGTGTGTGTGTGTGTGTGTGTGTGTGTGTGTGTGTGTGTGTGTGTGTGTGTGTGTGTGTGTGTAATAGATTTTCCCCACAACAGCCCCAATTCCACCCAGATGAATAGATTCAGAATCAAAGCAATCTTTGTCCTATTGCAGACAACAAGATCATTTGAGATGAGACAGTCCAACAGATTAAAGCAATTTTATAATTAGACAGTTTATTGGTTGTCCTTGGGGGGCTTGCAGCTCCCCTTTTACTGTGCCTCTTACGTACAAAGCTGCCCACATTGATTGTGGTTGACCGGCAGCTGCCCACATCCCCGGGTGCCTTCACGGCCCACTTGCATGTTATTTCAGGAGGCAGAGTAAAAGGGAAGGTATGCTCCTGTGCAATTCTCCTCAGGCCTTCATACTCCTGTTCATTTCACGTCAGATCTTCAGCTTATACTTAGTCTTTGTATCCGTCCTTCATCTTCATTCTTCCGTTCATTTCATTTCTGATTGCCGTATTGTCTGTTCTCTTAATGATTGTGAGGAACAAGCCCTCAAGGGGCCCTATCAGACATCACATGATCTGGGCTAAGGCCCCTAGCAATCCGAGTGCCCACCCTAAGTGAAGGCGGGCCCGAATATTCGTCAGAGGCAAAATTTGACATTTCCATATGTGGGTATTTAGGCTCTTGCAGCTCGCCAGTTGGTTGGGTAGACGCGTGTGCCTCACAAAGCTGTGTCATACAGTTGGCCCAGGCCTTGACAGTTGCGCCTGGGCACACACACACAAAGCAGCGCCGATACATTGGGAAGCAGGCCATCGGCCTTTGCAAAAGCAGTACTGCCGACGCACCTGCCTGGGAGCCCTGCACAGATGCAGCAAACAGCCCAAGTCCGGAGACTCAGGCCGTGCCCAACTGTAATGGGTCCAGGCCCTCAACTGTAGTCTTGAGCCTGGGCGCAGGGTCTGAGGCCCAACCGGAAGCTACTGGAAGCTTCCAGCCAGGCCACACGCAGCATCCAGGAGGCTGCCACTTCCACAAAAGGAGTRAGGCAKCCCAGGCCAGGCATTCTGGCCAGTGCTGGCAATGCGGAAGTGCTGCTGCGCTCTCGCTTGATGCTGCACTGCTGCCAAAGGCGCTGACGGGGCGCATAGTGGTGAAGAGGGGCGCTGCAGGGCAGTTGGGCGCAGGCGGCCATAGCCGGGCTGCTGGGCGCCAGGGGGTACAGCGGATGATCTGGTGGTCTTCAGGGAAGGGGGCGCTGTGTGGGGTAATCAAGGTCTGATTGAGGGTGACGAGATACGTACCTGGTGCATGAAGAGAGATCGGCTATGGAGTTGACAGTCATGTACATTGGTCTTCGACAGTCAAAGTGAGCCTGTTGCGTGAACCAGCTGTAGGTAGGATAGTCGGGCAGAGTAGGGTTGGGCGCTGGGCGCCAGACAGAGAGGAGAGACTTTGGATACTGTGTTGGTGTGGCCTACGGGCTCGAACATTGGCTCATTACTTCATTGTATTGCTCTCTATGGATGGTTTCTCGGTGCATTTTGTACTCTCTGCTGGGATACGACTACCTTGACACCTGTGTGATTTCGCAACTTGGTTTTCTGTATATCGTTCACACTCATATTCCTTGCAATTTGGTATCGGAGTTGGTTCGTGATCGCCGCTTACCTGGCACCGGCGACATTGTTACTTGGTGCGCTGATGATGATTCATGTGCGGTAAGGATACTTCGGCGCTGGTTGATTAGCGGGGCCTAGGTGGAGAGGCCGGCCGCTGGAAGGCTGTGGCGACAGAGGGTGTATGCATGATGATGAGAGTATGCTGACGTGGCATTTTGGCTGAGGTGACACTGCATTGCGTTGTGGGTGGTACCGAGGCTATTGACCGATCATCGAAATGCACGTCGGCCCAATTGGTGAGAGATCTGTGGTTGGGGGCAGCTATCTCCAGGTATGTTGTTCCCATTCCTTATCTACCCTCTCAATCTCTTCTTACCGTGAGGAAGTGAGTCCAACTTGAGTGTCCGCTCTTTGGTGAGGAGTCGTGTGCGCTCTATCTTGAGAGACGACATTCTTCCCGGTGGCGCATCTGGCAGGAGAGGGCGGTGCCTCTGAAGAGCCCTGGTCGAAGCACGGGTCACAGTCACCATGCCAACCCATGGGAGTAGTACACGCAGGCCATGCTGTTTTGTCCATTAAGGCTCTTTGCTGCGCTGATAGAAGGGGTGTGCGGACTGACCAGTCCTACGTAGACGCTCCCAGACCGTCTATAAACATTTCTGGTTGGGGTCTGAACTCTCCACTGGCTGTGATCGTCGTCCTGATTGCGACGTTAAAGAATTCCTGAGGACTCTCGGGGGCTGTCCTTAAATTGCCTCTTGATCAGCCATATCAGTCAAACGTAAGGCTCGTTGCACGCAAGGGTAAACAAAGGGCAGGACTGGTCATAAGCATACTTCTTGGGCACAGGGGTGGGCCATGGTTGCACACCTTAGACACTGCCGCTTGATGGTGCTCATAGGTACGTTGGGTACAGGGGAAGGGGATTGTGAACTCTATTGTGCATCACTATCATACCCATTGTGCATACATCTGCACACAGTAGTCTATTTTTATTTGGATTAGTTGGTTGACCGACTGCTGACACCTAACAGACAGCCTAGAGTAGGACTGTAATCTACCATAGTCAGTTCTTCTCAAAGCTTCTGTTCAGAACTAAACAGGATAGAGGTATATTTGTTTATTTATTTTTAGCACCAGTCAGACGCATGCTGCGGTAGGTTCCAGATGCAGACAGTGTCTGCCTAGCCGATGAGTGGATCAGCCGGGGATGAAGGTATAGCTGACGCTAGGAGGTTAACAAGGCTATCATCGCTTAGAATTCCTGTTCCAGGCCCTACAACCAGGAGAAGAGAGAAGACTAAGGGCCGAAGCTAGGGCCCGTAGTCTTGAGGCTGCAAGGGAAGCAGCAGCAGCTAGCGCGGTAGCAATGGCTACCGCTTCAGCATCGTCTACATCAACCTCTGGTCAGGGCATGCCGTCCGACTCGACCAGCTCGCAGTCAGTCTCCAACACATCAGGTGTCGACGCTAGTCAGATGGCGGGTGTGCAGTCCAGCCTGCCGCCTCATCTTCTAAGGGAGCAGATGGAGCTTCAGCAGGTCGAGAGAATCCGCCTGAGGTTAGAGGAGGAACTCAAACAAGCTACTAAGAAAGAAAAAGAAATTAGTGAGAGAAGAGCCAGACGAGAGAGTAGGGAGGCAGACCTAGACACGACCCTTAACTCTATAGGAAAGATTTTGAAGGCGAGCCTCCTGTCCATGCAGGCGTACATGGAGAGCAAAATGGACGCCCTGCAGGACACCCTGGATCAGATCCTGCAGGCCCTACAAAGGCCGGGGACCCGAACAGCAGCTAAGCCATCGCTTTCATTATCAGTGATAACAGGCCCCTATGCTGCTCAGTCTGGACAGCAACCAAGCGGTACATCAGCAGCAGCTCTATCACAGACTGTTGCTTCTTCATCTTCTGGTCTGGCGACTGGAGCTACACCACAGTCGCCACCTGTCTCGCTAGCGGGACAGCAATTGCCTTGGTACCCCAAGACCCCTCTGAAACCACCTCCAACCTTCTCAGGAGACAAGAAGGATGAGGCTCTCGACACGTGGTTGAGAACGACGCCAGTGTGGGTGAGGGCAAAGAGGACGTTGGTAGAGGAGGAGGTGATTACTGCTGCATCCTACTTAGAGGGTTCAGCAGCTCGCTGGTTAAATGGATTGGTTGCTTCAAAGGGGTTCGGAAGGAACATGGGTGATTGGGCGCAGACCCACACCCTAGAAAGCTTTATGGATTTAGTGGAGGCTCGATGGCACAACCCTCAGCAGGTGCTCCTGAAACTTGACTCTAGGAAGTACACGTCAGTGCGAGAGCTCACCACGACCGTAGAGCGTCTCATTGTCGTCCCAGGAGTGGAGTACAATCCACAGGTCTTGTTGACCATGTTCTTGAGATGTCTCCCCACAGACATTGAGAACTTATTAGCCAACGAGGCTCGACTAGACTATCACACTTTTGAGACATTCAGTAAGAAGGCCTTAGACTTAGAGGCTATGTTGGGTGGTGCTCAAACCCCCTCTACGGATGGAAGAACGAAGATCCCTCCTAAGGGTGGGTTTCCTTCTTCTCAGTCTGGGGCCTCTACGAGCTCCAGCTCAGGAAACACTTAAGGTCGGTAGAAGTTGTAGCTGCTTCTACTCTCGTTGTAGCGGGTGATGTACCCTCCCCGTTTCGAGAGTTGGTCGAAGCTATTCACTCCTTAGTCACCCCGCAGACGCATCCGGACCCAACTATACTCTGTACGTTGGTTGTGTTTGAAGCCTTAGAGGACCTTCAGGTGAGTGGTCGGCAAGGGACCCTCGTGAGTCTTGGGTGGCACTGAGTAGAGGTCCTAGAGGGGAGCACTTCGTTGTGGAAGTTGGTGTGGGTGGTCGCAAGTGCGGCGCCTTCGTAGACATTGGCTCCACGCGAAACTTCATAAGTCGCGATTGCGTTGACACACTGCGCCTAAAGGACTGGGAGCAACGCCTTAGTAGACCTGTAGCATTTACTTTGGCCACCAAAGAGCGCATGGCGGTGGAGGACTACGTTAAGGACGTAGTCTGCACATTCTCCTATCCAGAGGAGAGATAAGTCATAAAATATCATTCTTGGTGAGCGACGATTTGCCCTTTGACATGTTATTTGGCATGTACTACCTCGAGGTTGCCAAGCCCCAGTTTGACTGGGACAACAATGTTGAAGCACAAGTTGCCTAATGGGAGGACCGTTAGACTGGCTAAGTGTAAAGCCAATAAGTTAATAGACTCCTATGGGTGCTTAGACGCCTTCTATAACTACTATAAACAGAACCACAAGGAAGGAATGTATTTAATCTATGTCTCTGAAAAAGGGGAGGCCGTTAAAACACCCCCAGAGATAGAAACCATCATCGCTAAGTACCCTGATCTGTTCGAGGAGCCCTCAGGAGTCGTAGACAGGGAGGTTGTCCATACCATAGAGATCATCCCAGGTAGTAAGACACCTAAAGGGAGAATCTATAGGATGCCTCCAGCCGAGTTGGACGAGCTTCGTCAGCAACTGGAAGAGCTCACAGAAAAGGGTTGGATTCGGCCTAGCACTTCCCCCTTTAGCTCACCAGTCTTATTTGTTCCAAAGAAAGGGGGAACACTAAGGATGTGCACTGATTATAGAGGCCTCAATGTCATCACCGTTAAGAACACAGAGCCTCTACCATGCATTGATGACCTATTGGATAGGGTGCAGGGGTGTAAGTACTATTCCAAGATAGACTTAAAATCCGGCTACCATCAGATTGCCATAAGACCAGAGGACCAGCACAAAACCACATTTCAGACCAGGTACGGTTTGTACGCGTTTGTGGTGATGCCCTTTGGCCTCTGCAATGCACCGGGTGTATTCCAGCGCACCATGAATAGGATCTTCCATGACTACTTAGATAAGTTTGTCGTCGTGTACCTTGACGATATACTTATCTTTAGTACAATTGTCGAGGAGCATGCTCAACATATAGACAAAGTACTTTCACTCCTCCGACAACATAAGTATAAGATAAACGCAGAGAAATGCAAGTTCGGTCGCACTCGAATCTTGTACTCGGGTCATAAAGTATCTGCGGATGGTATTAGGCCCGAAGATGGTGGCTAGCATACGTGACTGGCCACGACCCCAGTCTGTGACCGAGGTCAGATCATTCTTGGGAATGTGTGGTTATTACCGCAACTTCGTAAAGAATTATAGTACGATCGCATCTCCTTTGACTGATCTAACTCGACTTGACACGCCATGGGATTGGACTGACGAGTGTGAGGCTGCTTTCAAGCGGTTGAAGCATGCTCCCACGCATCATGAGGTTCTCATGGTACCCGACCCACAAAGGCCATTTGTTGTAACCACTGACGCAAGCCAATACGGTATTGGCGCAGTGCTGGCTCAGCAGGAAGGGAAAAAGTTGAAACCAGTCGAGTACATGAGCAAAAAGATGCCATCAAACAAGTTGGTAAAGTCCACCTACGAAAGGGAACTCTATGCTCTCTACAAGGCACTTGTCCACTAGAGGCACTATCTGTTAGGGAGGTTCTTCTATTTGAGAACTGACCATCAGACCCTCGAAGTGGATCAAGACCTAACCAGTTTTCCTCGATGCACTCAAACGTTGGATTGAAGTCATAGATCAGTATGACTTCAAACTAGACTATGCGAAGGAAGATCCCATCACGATGGGCATCATCAACAAACTACAGGCCAAAGACAAGGCCACCACTGACGAGTTTGTGATGGTGGATGGGTTGCTCTTTCTTGAGAAGGCAGGGTTTAAGAGATTAGTTGTTCCATCTAGGGAAGTTTTGCGTAGTTTATTTTTAGGACAATGCCACGACGCGACGACATTTCGGCTATAAGAAGACTAGTGCTAACTTAGTACAGCGATTTTGGTGGCCTAACATGCTAGACGATGCAAAGAAGTACGTACAAACCTGTCAGGTCTGTCAAGTCTGTCAGCGGGACAAGCCGCTGACTCAAGCTCCGCTAGGGTTACTCAAGCCTCTACCCATTCCTGCCGGCCCAGGGCAGAGTATCTCCATGGACTTCATGAATACTCTCGTGACCAGCAAGAATGGGAAGAGGCACATCTTCTTCATAGTGGATAGGTTCACTAAGTATGCTAGACTAATTGCCATGCCGGAGACTGCCAGGACTGAGCACGTCATTAAGTTGTTCATAGACAACTGGGTGCGTGACTTTGGACTGCCAAAGACAATCATTAGTGACAGAGTGTGTTTCACAAGTGAGATGTGCAAGACGGCCGCTGAACAGATGGGCAGCCAGCTTCAGACGACTTATGGGAATCATCCCGAAGCAAATGGGCAGGCTGAACAGATGAACCGTGTGGTGCAGCATCTGTTGAGGCATTACATCAAGCCCACCCAAGATGACTGGGATGAGAAATTACCTCTCATCGCCAACCTGTACAACAATGTTGTACACAGCACCACCGGCGTCAATCCTAATCAACTGCATCTGGGATGGAAGCCTAGATCTGCTCTAGACTTCCTCCTGCCTGAAAACTGAACTGCGGCAACTCCTAGAACCATTGAATTTGGTGTCCAGTATGAGAAACTGTTGCAGCAGACTGTCGAACACATCAAGAAATCTCAGGAAGCTATGATTGCTTCTAACAACAAACGTCGCCGACAGTCCACATTTCAGGTAGGGGAACGTGTCTGGGTCAAGGCTAGTGAGTTGGGACAGAAGTTTGGCATCTCTAGGAAACTAATGCCTCAGTATTTCGGTCCCTGGAAAGTCTTAGACATAGTGGGGAATGATTTGGATGGTCCCTCGTACGTCATTCGTATCCCTGGTCATCTACACACTTACCCTGTTTTTCACACCTCCAAGCTTGCACCTTTCGCTGAGACAGCACAGTTCCCATCACGGAGATCTATGCTGCCCCCAACCATGGATGGCCACGTGGGCGTCGACGACATCTTGGATCATAGAGATACGCCTGTTCCCAAGCCACTTGGCAGGGGAATACCTCCTAAACCTGCAAGAGAGTACAGAGTACATTTCAGGCATCATACTGATCCTAGGGAAGATCGATGGATTTCAAAGGAGGAACTTGTCAAGACAGCTCCTCAGTTCGTGGTAGATTATGAGAAGAAACTGAAGGGGAAGGCACCAGCATGAAGCATCTCAGAAGAGTTTCGAAGCTAAGGGGGATGGAATGTGAAGAACAAGCCCTCAAGGGGCCCTATCAAACATCACATGATCTGGGCTAAGGCCCCCAGCAAGCCGAGTGCCCACCCTAAGTGAAGGCGGGCCTGAATATACGTCAGAGGCAAAATCCATATGTGGGTTTTCAGGCTCTCGCAGCACACGTGAGCCTCACAAATCTGTGTCATACAGTTGGCCCAGGCCTTGACAGTTGCGCCTGGGCACACACACACACAAAGCAGGGCCGATACATTGGGAAGCAGGCCATCGGCCTTTGCAAAAGCAGTACTGCCGACGCACCTGCCTGGGAGCCCTGCACAGCTGCAGCAAACAGCCCAAGTCCGGAGACTCAGGCCGTGCCCAACTATAATGGGTCCAGGCCCTCAACTGTAGTCTCGAGCCTGGGCGCAGAGTCTGAGGCCCAACCGTAAGCTATTGGAAGCTTCCAGCCAAGCCACACGCAGCATCCAGGAGGCTGCCACTTCCACAAAAGGAGTGAGGCATCCCAGGCCAGGCATTCTGGCCAGTGCTGGCAATGCGGAAGTGCTGCTGCGCTCTCCCTTGATGTTGCGTTGCTGCCAAAGGCGCTGACGGGGCGCATAGTGCTGAGGAGGGGCATTGCAGGGCAGTGGGGCGCAGGCGGCCATAGCCGGGCTGCTGGGCGCCAGGGGGTACAGCGGATGTGGTGGTCTTCAGGGAAGGAGGCGCTGTGTGGGGTAATCAAGGTCTGATTGAGGGTGACGTGATACGTACCTGGTGCATGAAGAGAGGTCGGCTATGGAGTTGACAGTCATGTACATTGGTCTTCGAGAGTCGAAGTGAGCCTGTTGCGTGAACCAGCTGGAGGTAGGATACTCGGGCAGAGTAGGATTGGGTGCTGGGCGCCAGACAGAGAGGAGCGACTTTGGGTACTGTGTTGGTGTGGCCTACGGGCTTGAACATTGGCTCATTACTTCATTGCATTGCTCTATATGGATGGTTTCTCGGTGCATTTCGTACTCTCTGCTGGGATATGACTACCTTGACACCTGTGTGATTTCGCAACTTGGTTTTCTGTATATCGTTCACACTCATATTCCTTGCACGATGCTCATTCGTATGTATTTGTTAGTAGCACAAAAGGAGTGAAGTACATGTTGGGTTGAGGAGCAGTTAATGCCTATGGCAATCGGCCACCCCTACAAACCGGACAGGACCGGTTCAGGTGTGGACTATGGAAGCACCGCATCCAATTCTCGCAGTCACAGTTGTTGGATCGAATGGCGCGGCACAGACAGATGTCACAGGCTACCTGGCTCCTACATGCTAGGAACACAGAGGCACGTCGACCGCAATTATAAAGGCATTGTCGTTCCAGCCCGTCTACAAATTGGACATGACATGTCAGGGTACCGTACATGAGTACAGTACTGACTGTCGTCGTACGTATGGAAGCAAAAAACTCACATGGACTATCCCTTCATAATCCTCACGGCACAAGGCATGCGAACCACATGCTACTTGAATCTCCAGCAGGTCATCACAAAGCGGCATGGAGCATCTTCCTTGGGCTTCCTCAGTATTTATGATGGACAGGGAGCATCGGTCCAAAGCAGGGCGTTCAACTGCTGCAGGATTTGGTCCACAACAAGTTGCCCTGGTGGTGATAAACAATGAGCACATCACTCTACCGGTGGTTCATATAGAAGTCTATTTTCCTCCTCGGACTGCTGTGTCTGTTGTTCGTCTGGCAAGAAAGAGGGAGATCCACCAGTGGTTGTCGTAGGTGTATGACCAACACCGCATGTGGGACATGCTACGAGAGGATGTGGAGGGTGATGGCACTAGGGATAGTCCACGCAGTAAAGGCACATACTTTCTATGACAGCTTCCTAGAAGCATTGACGACACATGGAATGTTGTTGACATGTCATTAGAATGGAAGGCTGACGTGCACAGTTATTTAAGCATGGCAGATCAAGGCCACAACGGCATGTTGGGCAAGTAATCAAAAGGTGAGGGGGATGAGCACAGGACCGGGGATCACAGTTTTCGTGTGAGAGGCTAGCAGTGACCATCCCTTCATAGTGTTTGGAGCAAAGGCTATGCCGTGTACATGCCAAACGAACTGCACTTGTGCGACGACACAACGGGAGGGCACAGCCACCATCCTCTGGAGAGGTCCTTTCACTGTTTGTGGTAGAATCACCCGGATTGCTCTCCGGGGGGTGCAGTGCTTGCAAGTGCTCATCGACATATTGTTCTGATGGATGATCCTGACTGAATGATCCTCCATCATTTGGTGATAGAAAGAGTTGGTATTTCCCGCTGTGTGCACCCTACCGCTATTGTCCCATAGGGTCCATGAATTGTCTGCAAAGATAAGAGAACTGAAATGACATGGACGGTATAAGATATATGCCCAAATATTCAGATCCCTGCCTGGCACGTGGTTTTGCGGAGCAGGCTGGAATTGCAGTCGCCTACCCATAAATGCCATGCCAGGTCTTCTATGTTCACACCAGGTGCAGCGCTGTCATCCTCTGGGCAGACGGCATGGTGCTCTTCTTCTATCCAGTGAACAACTTCTGCGAAATCAGAAACAGTATAAGGATTACAATTGTAAGCAAGGAGACATACATTAATGACATAGTACACACAGTGCCCTCGCTATAGGGCTATGACATTGTCTGATTCCGCAGGTTGCGTGGGGGATATGCTTACGGCAGGGAGAGACTCGTTCAATTCTACGGGTTGCACTGGTGGAGGAGACTCGTTGTGGTCTTGACCAATTGGCTCCGGATGTGCTCCGGAGAGAGATGATCTTCATCCCGGGGCTCCATCAGGTAATCAAGAGTCGGGTCATTGTCATTTGGGACAGGGGAGCAAGCAGGGCTAGGTGGATGAGAGAGGGGCAGGTCAGGTGGGTGAGAACTGGGTGGACCAGATGTGGGAATCGGAAGCTGATCAGCCGCACTTGTGCTCAGGGCGGCTGCTAGCCGTGCAAACGCTCAAGCTCACACTCATTCAAGCAAGGCATGTCAAGACCATCATGGCATATTGGGCACATAATAAGGGGGGRGGAGGGGGGAGGAGGGGGGAGGAATGCAGACAAAGATGAGTCACAGTTTCCATGGCAAAGGCAGGCATGACATAGAGCAGCAACCTCCTCAGAAGGGGCCCCCTACGATCGATGCTAGAATCCGTCTGATCTGCACAGGCAAGAAATGCAGTCGGGCCGGGTAGAGGGGAGTGGGGGAGGGTCAGTCGGATTGTTCCTCCAAAGCAACGGAGCTTGCAACCGCACATTCGCATATTCACACAGACCGAGCGGGACTCTGCCAATCGGTAATAGTACGACCCTATGAGGTAGTATTACCCAGTAAGTGCACTTGGGCCCGCTGCCAGGGAGACAGCAGTGGAGATGGCGAACATCTTCATCGAAGAGGCACCTCAGACTGCCGACTTGACAATGAATGTGTTGGAAATGACGACAATGATGAAGGGGTGGAGGACAGAGAAGGGGAGGAAGTAGACAGAGGGAATGGCTCAGCAGACGATGCAGCTGTGATGGCCCCTGGTGATGGCGGAGGGTCATCGGGGGAAGAAAGAGTAGGAGGAGGGTGTGGCAAGAGATTATCCATCTCCTCATCTTGACCTCTCAGCTCTCTTTTTTGTGGTCACCTGCAAAACTATGGTGCATTCGTTCTTCAGTCTGTGGCGGCACACATTCACCAGCACCAACAACAGTAGGGTGCTGGCAATCATCTCCCACAGCAACTTCAACATATATCGATGTTGCCTGCTACTGCAGGCTGAGTTTCTGTCCATACGGCGGCGTTCACATTAGTTCTTGTCGCCCCTCTGGCAATTGCTGGGGTAGGTAGGCCCGCTACATGTGGACGTTCAGAGGAGCGATGTGGCCTGTGCTTAGAATTGACATTCAGCCGTGGATGAGCAAGTGACCATTGAACCATGCAGCGAAACCAGTTTGTCAGCCCAGAGACATGAGTGGGCAGCCGATATGGCCGGCCACACACATAGGCACTCGAACCCCTGGCCAGGACACTGGGGGGATGGCCCCTAGCAAGCACAATACTGGGGTAGGGCCCTCCATAGTGTCCGGTAACCAAGTTTAGTTGTGTTAAAATCCGGGTCGCCCGGCGGCCCAGCCTTCGTCCGACAGGGGTCCCGGGCATCCCAACTGGTTGGGTCCCCCGGTTTGGCGCCGGGTGGGCCCAGCGCAATTTCGCGTGGGGAGGAAAGGCCTTTTTCGGCCAGTGGCAGCCTCCCCGGCCCCTAGGAGCACTTCGAAACTTTACGTTTTGATTTTCGTAGGACGGTAAGGCGGGGGGAAGGCCTTCTTCGAAGTTCTTCTTGTTTTCGGACTACGTTGCGATCAGCCGCCAACAAACGGCCTCGTTTCCCCCCCCTGGTCGCCTACGACGCCTCGTTCGAATTTGAACGCGGTATTCTCCGCTTCTCTGCCGTCACGAAGCCCGCCCGCTGTTGCTGTCGTCTCGAAGCCCACCCGCCATAGTCGCTGCTCGCCGTCTCGAAGCCCGCCCATCTTCGTCGAGCTGCCGTCGTCGCTCCCCGTCGAGCTGCCCCGTCGAGCTGCCCTCCCGTCTTCGCCGCCCGTCAAGCTGCTATCGCCATCGTGGTGAATTGGTGTCCACCTCCTTCCTTCCTCTTCTTCTTCTTCTTCCTCCCCTCCTCCTCCTCCTCCTTTCCTCCTTTTCTTCTTCTCCTCCTCCTCCTTTCGTCTTCTTCTCTCCTCCTTGTCCTCCTCGTCCTCCTCCTCCTTTTGTCTTCTTCTCTCCTCCTCCTCCTCCTCCTCCTCCTCCTCCTCCTTTCGTCTTCTTCTCTCCTCCTCCTCCTCCTCCCTTCATTTTCTTCTCTCCTCCTCCTCCCTATTTCATTGGTTTTCTTTAGTAGTCGAAGTGCCACGTGGCAACAGCAGTGCGCTGAGAACTTCCGCGTGTCGGGATTCCTCTCTCTCTCTCTCTCTCTCTCTCT